GAGGGGCTGGGCTGGGGATGAGCTCTGGTGTGTGTCAGCACGAAAGCGAGGCCGTGGGGAGTATGTGCAGGGGAACCCAGAACAGAACCGGGGCTCCCACAACGAAGGGACAGAGGACTCTGGAACAAACGAGCCCACAGTACGCTCCGGAAGGAAGCAGCCAGCAGAGCCCACGGGAGCCCTGCCGACTTTCCCGACGTCGCCTCCACCTGGAGTCAGGAGGCACAGAGCGACAGCCGCGCCAGGCCCAACGGCTCACTCACCTCTTGATCTGCTCCTCGATCTGTTTCACCAGCAGCGACTCCCCGCCGCTGAGCCCCCCAGGGCCCGGTGTGGCCCGGGGGCCCCCGTCACTGGGCTCCACGGCCCCGTTGAGCTCCAACGAGCGGCCCAGGAGGGACCGCACACGCTTGGACCTCATGTCCAGGATAGTGTCCGTGTAGCCCACCTCCTCCAGGTACCTGCACAGGCAGAAGCAGGGCGGTCAGCCCCTCGGGGCGCCTGTAGACACTGCGGGCTTACGTAAAGACAGCAGATCGAGGCTGGGACGCCCTTCGCAAACGAGCAGCTTGAGACCGTACACAGAAATTTTAAATGAGCACATCCCTAACCTGCCGTTTCACTTTCAAGACCGCTGCCTGTGGCAGCCGTCATGCACAGACACAGTGCTGTCACACGATGCTCGCCACAATGTTGCACAGGAGCCCAAAACTCAGGGCCAGCCTACACATGCACTGACGAGACCGTGGACGCCAATCACTGACAGGACACTGGCCAGAAACTAAACAAGGCAGAGTGCCAAGAAAGATGGCCACGGTAAACGCGAATGAAATGAAAACTGTAATTACACATATTCCACACAATTCAAGTGTTTTAAAAAAGTTAATGAGTGCGTAAGTATAGAACACACACACACAGCACGCCCCCACAAGGCCGAGACACATACTAAACCTATGAGCAGTCAGTGACATCTGGGAATGGGATTAAGGGACATGAGAGGAACATTTGCAACTTACTCCATTCATTTCTACAAACAAACATCTACTACTTCTGCAATTTAAAAACTAAAGCCAAGTAGGACTGCTCTAAAAGCTAACAAAAGAAAACACAATTACAGGGATCAGTGGCTTCAAAAGATACGAGACAAGAGTCCCTCGCTGGTCCTTGAGAAATCTTTTCTGTTTACCGTGACCTTGTACTTTTGGGACCCGTGCCCCTCACACATTAGACAAGACTAGCCTGCACTGCTGTCTCGTCTGCGTGCCTGCGGGTGTCTGAGGCTCCCCGTCCCCCCAACAGGAGAGGCAGGGAAGCATGAGGGTGGAGCTGGGCTGTGGGGCAGGCTGCCTGAGATGGCACCTCCGACCCTCTGCTTATTAGCTACGTGACCTTCTGCGAAGATGCCCTCTCTGCACTCGGTGTTATGATACGTGAAAATGAGGGGGATGCCAGTAGTTGTCCCACATAGGGATCTACGCGAGGAATCGATGTGTGCCCAACGGAAACAGTGCCAGGCACATGCCATAGGTAGCTGGCAAGTGTTGCCTATCACAATCGTTTTGCTATTGTTTGCACACACTGTAAGCGAGTAATTGTACTTCCAGATATCAGTTTAAGGAAATCAAGGGTATAGACAAATAAATAATTTCCTGATGTTTGTCAATGTCTACAAAAAGTACTAAAAAATAATTTAACGTTACTCGTGGAAAATAAAAGCAACAGAGCACATGGGGTCGCTTTCCAAGAGTGGGGGTCCCCACGTCTGCCTCCTGCAGCTGTCTCCCCAACCTCTCCCGAGGCAGGGCTCCACCTACAGGGTGACAGGCCATCTCGGCTGTGGCCGGCAGGGATCCCAATAGTTCAGGGTCCCCAGTGGGGACAGGAAGAACTGTGGAGCCTTCAGGCTTATCTCCCAAGCCAGACACGTCCCCTTCCCCTCGTCCCCCCCCGCCCCGCGTCCCTCTGCACTCACTGTCGGAGAAGCTGCCGCCCCTCCTTCCACACCAGCGGGCTGTGCTCCAGAGTGACCGACTCCACGGGGCCGTTGGAGACTGGAGGGCAGAGAAAAAGGGGAACAGGCCATCTTGGTCAGGGCACTACCACATACCCATCGCCTCCCCCCTCTTCCTCACCCTCATACCAAATCGGTCATTGTTGCGGGTCCTGTGGAGTCATTTCCTGAGAGTGTCTGAAACCTCCTTGTCGCTAATCTCCTGACCCGGTCATTCCCTAAACCATCCCCAGACTATCTCTGGACTCAACTCTAGTTATTTAATTCTCCTACATGGGAAGCTGGCCCAGTCTGGAAGAATGGGCAGACTCAACTGGGTTCAAGTCCAGCTCTGTCATGTCCCCGCTGTGTGACCTTGAGCTGGTTTGCTTACCTATCTGAGCCTCAGTTTCCTCTTCTGACAAATAAAGTTAATGACATTGGCACCTACTTCATAGAATTGTGTAGATTAAACAAAAGGTAATCTGTTTATTTTATCCACCGAATATTTATCAGACATGTACCATGTGCCTGGCTGGATCCCTGGGCTGCATCAGTAAACAAACCCCCGGCCCTGGGGAACGCATATTCTAGTAGGAGGAGCCTGGCATGAGGAAGGATCACTACTAGCCCGGCAGTGAGGGCACTGACAGGTCGCGGACAGGCCACCCACCCCCTCACTTTGAGCCAACACTATGTTCCAGTCACAGCGAATGACCAATAACACCCGTTTGCTAACTCCTCTCTTCCCTCCACCTAGAGCACCTTCCCTAAGGTCCTGCTGGTGAACTGATCCCTCTTTCAGGAGCTTAGACTCAAGGGACCTACTGCGCCTGTCTATTTTGCAGACG